CTGTCTTTGACCGTTCTGATTCAACACATGTTAAGTTTAGACATTTAAACAACCACTTGCGTTAAGAGCATCTGTGCTGAAAATTATTGATTAACATGGCAGCAGTTCAACAGAAGTCTTCCTTGCGCCAGGAGTAGCTTATCGCCAAAGAATAAAGCAGGAAAATGAGAATAGCCATGCTGAAAAGGGCGATTAGTTTTATCAGGGCCCAAGCAGAGTCAGTCAGCCAGTCTGGGAGTGATGACACTTTTTTATTGACAGAAACTACAAGTAAAGAGCTTTCCAGATCAACCATCATAATCAGACAGCAGGATTGTGAGAAAAGCTCCAGACACACTGTACATGAGGAGGCAGGGCTGCAGGACCCCCAATAAATGATTTCATAAATAAATGATGGAGTTATAACAATATAGCTGATATTAGCTTTAGATACACTTCTGAAAACATGTTCTCCATATAAGTTAGGACTTGTAGATTTTTCCCCTCATGACTTCCATTGCAAAGCACTTTAGGAAGGAGTTTCTTTAATGTTCCAGTTATAACAGGAGGAACCATTACCAGCACAGAATAAAACCTGTTTCACTGGTTTTCACTGTTGGTTTGAAGAACTGGACTGAAAAACTGAAAACGTGTCTTTTTAACATGGAGGAAAAATTGGAGGGAGAAAAAGATTATTGACTTACTGCTTTCTTCTGGCATGTTTCATCCACAATAACAGGCGAGAATACAACAATGGCAGCACATGACAGCAACAACCAATGGCCAATTTCTTACCATTGGGTGCTGGCACCACCTGAAAGAACAGAGGGAAAGATGTTGAGATTTGTTCTTCACTGCTTCCAGATAACATTCCATCAACAATATCTCCACAGCCACTTCTCCTGTTCATGGGTCTCAATTTGTGTACTTGAGGTCCATCCCACCCAAAACTGGTCTGTTTGCGCTATCAGAATCTCTTTCATTGGCCAACAACAGTAAACAAACAGTATTATCAGTGAGAATATTCTCCAGAAATACGAGGATTCCTAGGGTTATTTTAAAGGCGCTGTGAGATTCAGCTGCCCATCTAGTGGTTGGAAGTAAAATGCTCATGGGACATTTTGGAAGGCACTGACTAATAACTTGTTTTGTGTCTAACAGCGACGGACTGTGCAAGAACGTCAGGACACAACGGGCAGAACAGGGAAGGTAATCAGGAGGACAATGCTGAGGACAATGCAGAGGACAATGCTGAGGACAATGCTGAGGACAATGCAGAGGACAATGCAGAGGACAGTGATGAGGGTAATGGTGAGGATATAGGTATGCTCAACTTAAGAAATGTCAGCTAGTAAGAAAGAAAAGCTTTTGTTCCATCCACATTTTATCAGGTGTTTTATGAGCTGTAATAAAAATACTACTAACATTATTAATAATAAGAATAAGGATGATAATGGTGATAATAATAGTAATAATAGTATCATTGTTATTATTATTATTGTTTAGTGCGGCTTTGTTTTGGTGTTTTTGCATCACGTTATCTTGTTTTACTGCTCTGAAGAACTCTGGAATCTGTTTACTGTATATAAACTTTATGTTTTTATTATACAACCTTGTTATTTGGTCCACTATTCACAACCAACATCACACATTGATTGAATTAATACTTTTTGTACAATTGTGTTTTTTTTTTGTACAGAGTGAGCTATGTTTGAAGAAGCACATACACAGTACAACCATTTCATCCAGAACTCCTTTATAGACAATAAGAAGTACTTAAAGACTGTTATTATTTGAAGGTGACTATATATATTTTTATATTTGGGTTTTATATATGTATATTTTTATTATGACTGTGCTGCTTTTTTGTGTGTTTTGCTTCATTTTATCTTGTGTTACTGCCCTGTGATGAATCCGTTTTAAAACACATTGTACTACTACTAGAATTCATTTTATATAAAAGGTTTTTAACTTGTACCTGACATTTTAGTTCATTATATTAGAATGCTGAGCATTTGAGCGGAAAGATTGCGGCCGAAATGCTTTAAGTTTTATTGCAGCTGAAACATTATTAATATATAGAATTCTACGACCACTGAAAACGAAAGAAGTAATAAATCAAAGTCAGTCTGAGTTTGTTAGAACTTCATTGTGTATAACTCTCAGTAATTAATAGTAGAATATTTAAAGGATATGAATGTACATTTCTCAATGCACAAACAGAATGATGCTACCTGAACAACATGAACCTGCAATAGTTAAATGTATTACTGTATGTGAGAGTGTACCACTGTAGCTCCAACCTTTTCATTTGTCTACAACAATAATCCATCACTGTCTTCCTCTCAGTGGCTGCTCTCAGATCAGCTTTGGTGAGCAGTTCTGTTTTCAGTGTTTGTCTGTGAAACAACGGTCAGTTAGAAAGCACAAGGAAGATTTTTACATTTTTCATCAACATTTTAGTTGCTCAAAAGGGAAAAAAAATGAATACATTTTGAGATCATCGGTAAGACTGTCGATCGATGGATTAAGGAAAAATAATATAACAATTTAGGTTCAAAATGACAAATCGACCACCAAAATAGCTGGCAGTCAGTTGATCAATCATCAGCCAATCGATCAATCAACCATTTGCTGATGCTTTACTGTGTATATTTCTTACACTCAATCAAAAATCAAGAAGGCCCAGGCCCACTAAGGGACCCACGCCCCCAGGTTGAGGACCACTGGTTTATGTAAACCTTTCAACGTATACTGTCTCTTACTTTAAACCAAAACACCAATGCATTGGATTTTTATTTATTCATTTTGTGTGCACATTTTTTTAATGAGCATTTACTTCTGATGGTAGCGCATATCCTCCTTCACTGCCATCAGCAAAGTGGAGCAACTGAGTGCGGACAGCTGGTCCAAAGTCCTGTGGTTTCAAGCACCTGCAGTCAACCAGTTGATCCACTGCTGCCGTAAGACTGAATTTCTTCATCCCAACCACAGTTCTTTCAATGAGTTTGTCCGGTGCTGTCCATGTGGAAGTTGAAGGTGTCTCTCTCCATGTGCTTTTGGAGCCCTAAAGCTCTTTCCCCTGTGATCAGCTTCAATAGCAGGCCAGGTGAGAACATTTTCCAGATAAGCTGCTGTGATCTTTGTTTCTCTTGTAGGAGAGCTTTGGCTGTTTCAAAGCCTCTCTCTGCACTCATGTGTGAACAGCTTTGTACAAGGTCTCACTGACGCCCTCTGGTGTACCTTTCCAGATAATACATGCAGTTGTATTTCTCAGGGTGGAAGCTGGCTTGTATTTTGTTGTCGAATGAGCATTTCAGATATTTCACTTTGCCTTTGTACAATCTGTAGCGTGGAGCTGTCGCCAACTGCATGTTATTTTCCCTCTTGTGAGAGGCTTTATTTTCCATTCATGTTGTGGAGTTCTTCATCTTCATCTTTCTTGGCTTCTGCTTTCTATTGTAATGTATGTGAGTGAATTATTGATTGACCATTTGATCTGATGATGATGGTGATGATGATGATGAACATGGGATGGGCATTAAAGTCAAACTTCTTCTCATGGTATGTCTCAAGCATAAGTTCTCTATTTTTGCTACTTTTGTGTTTTAATTAATATTGGAATGTCTTTGTTTACTGAATTTGGAGCAGATGTCGGTAAAAAACAGTGAGCTTCAAAGTTGTTCGTGTGTGAACAGCCATTTGCATATTACTTTTACTGTTTGTGGGATAAAAATTCTCATTGTAAAATAAAAGTGCTGCTTGATTGTGTTCAATTCACCTTTTTACTTTGTTTGTGGTCTGCATGATTGAGAGTCACTCACAAGCTGGACCAATCAGAGCACACCTGGGACAAAGCATGCCTCTACAAAGAGGGCAACATGAACTAAACATCAAGATCCATATTACATACATACACATTAAACCCCACACATCAGGGATTGAGTCAAATGTATTTAATTAATCACACAAATCATCCATAAAAAAACAATTATAAAATACATAGAAAAATAGTAATTGTTCTATAGTAATGTTAAATGAACCAACTGGGCAGAATTTGTGCAGTATTTGCTTTCTTTTTCTCTTTTTTGGGATGTGTGTCTTTCACAATGTCCAGATGTTTCACAGCTTAAAAAACTGATTATGGCTGTAAATATATAATAAATACTTTAAAGTGCTTTTTAAAAATGAGGTTGTACAGCGCTTCACAAGGTGGCAAAAACGAGCACAAATACAGCAATAAAATACCAGCTCTATCCCTATAGTTGTTTAAAAAA